CTCAGGACCTTCTTGCTGTGAGGCAACAGTGCTAACCAGCCAAATCTAGCCTCCACTCTGTACAACTAAAGAGCATAGCATGTTACATAATGTTACGTTACATATGGCCTAAAATTCATATCTCGATATTATTTAGCTGGATGGTGATACACGATATATATCTCAAGCTTTTTTTAAAGCCATAAAGTAAGAACAAAAAGAGAGTTCTTAGTCAAAGCTGTGTCCCAGATCTCACACAGGCACTTTTATTAACATCCAGCGTAGATGTACATGAAAAAAACAACTCAGAAATAAATTATCAGCATTTATTAAATAGTAATGCTCCATAAATAAAATAAAACAATGTTGTTTTTGTGCATAAAAAAAGCTCACAATTGTGCAGTTGAAATGTACCGTTAACGTCATTTTAACGAGCTTAACGCGACCAGCACTAAAATAGTAATTTCCAGATGTTTTCTTTTAACCGACCAGCTCCTCTTTGATAGCTGCCGTGTGCATCTTGTTGTTGCCTGCAGGTGAAGCGATGGGGGAGGGGGAGTTGTGTTCAGTGAAGGAGAGAGGCGAGGCAGAGTAACATTGCGTAGAGACAAAAGTGGACGAAAGAGAGGAAAACTTTCAGCACGAGTATAATTATAACGTGACAGAACAGAGGGCGACACAAACAGCACACAGGAGGAGATCAGGTCAGAATGGACACACATGGGGAACACAGAACCTGGAGGAATCAGGGTGAAGCAAAACTGAATATAAAACACACAAGATGGGAGACTATCAAAATAAAAAAGGAAGTACACACACACACACACACACACAGACACATACAAACTAAGACACGTGAACTTGACACTGGGACAGAGGAGAGACATGGAGACATGATGAACTAGGTGAGACCAAGGAGTAAAACGCACAGGCACAAAACACTGAGATGAAACTAGGACGGACTAACAGAATGAAATTAGATGCAGAAAATACAAAAGTAAAGACCAACTAATACAGAACTAGAATATGAAAATCTCTTGAATCCAAAAGAATGAGTCACAACACAAACTCATAATCTGGCTCAAAGACCCAGGACCATGACAGTGATATAAAGACTTGCACAGACATTCATACATGTATGTAACCCTTTAAATATAAGTGTGGACACATAAGGGGCTGAGAAAATAATAAGGAAAAGGCCAAAGAACCAGAAATTTCACACGGATGTGTCTCTGCTACACGGCACTTTGGTTGAGGTCTACACTAATCCGGATAAATTTGAGAACGGCGTTTTCGTCTAAAAACGCTGCGCATCCAAACTGAGCCCGTTCTGGTAGTGAGAACGTGTTATCCAAACTATCATTTTTAATCATTTCCGAAGAGTTGTTCATCCACACTGAAACGACTGAAAACGCGTACGTTCCTGTACTGCGCATGTGTGAAACTGCTCCATTTGAACAATTCAATACATGAAAAGTACATTAACAGGCTCGCATATAGTCCACATATGCCTCAAACACTATTATAAAAACTTTAGTTTTTAGATGTTCTAGATGAGCCCATAAATCCAACTCGGTTGTGCATAAGACAAAAAGCCGACTGTAAAGCTAATTACTGTGCATCCAGTTACTGAAACGGGCAGAAGGAAACCCGAACGAAAGCTGAGAAAGTGAAAGCAGAACTTCTCTAATGTAGCCCAGAGAAGTAGCAGTCCGCTGTTAAGATATCAGCCTCACACCAAGACCAGACTGCCTGTAATGTACCGTAAAATTAACATTTACAGTAAAGAGACCATTGTGACAGCAGTAATGCTAAGATTGTAACAACTCAAAGTTACACACCAATCAAACGGCGCCGACCGATTCTTAAACAAAGTGGCCAAAATGAGGTTTCTGCAGCTCCAACCTATAAAAACACCTGTTTACTACCAGG